CACCTCAGCCCATGACACAGATTATGGTCTTTGCAATACACTCTTATCCGATTACCCGCAAAAAAGAATTCCACTATCTGCCAAACACGAGTCTTCTCAAACAGAGGGGGAAATTTATCTTCTRCTCCTGCTCCACCTTCTGCTTTGCAGTTTACAAAACTGTTAATTTTTTTTTTAACTCCATCGTATATGATTTGCACATCATAGGCTAAGAAAAAAAACTTACAAGATTTATAACCCATCCAATTGGCTATGGGAGTCACCTATTCAGGGAAGAAAATGACAAAATATCTTATCTGAGCCAGGTATTTTAATGTTCTTAGTCTTCTAAAGGTAACAATATATAATAAAACTATCATAGTTCCAGCAAAGAATTTCTTCTTGATAGCTAATCTAATCCTGCCCTCTTTCAGTTTAAAGCCATTACCCCTTGTCCTGTCACTACCTGCGCTTGCAAAAGGCCYCTCTCCTACAATCTTGTAGCCCTTTTTGGTATTGGAAGGGTGGTCTAAGCTCTGTTGAATCTCCATAAAACTATTTAAAGTTTACAAAACATCCTTGCTTATTCCCAACAAAAATTTCATGGGGCTTTGGAAATTCTACTTTGATGCTTGGTGATGGTAGCAATACAGAACRATGAACTGTACCACCCCTTTGGGCATTACTGCAATCTAAACAGGCAATAAGCTGCAAGCTTAAAAGGTCTGAGAAGGATTTACCATGGACCAACAGATCCAAAGAAACTGCTTTTTAGGAAGCCAAAAATCCCCTACACACACTTAYAGTGCCAGGCACGGTCGTTTTTTAAACTGAATTGGTAATGTCCTCTTGGCTGAATGCAGCAATTGGAGAAACAGCTGCCATAATTTCACTGGAAGATGGCAGAGGAGATGCCAGAGCCAAGAACAAAAAGTTTAAATCTAGTCCATATATTTCAATCACWCAATTCCATAAAACACCTGCCTCACCAGCTGTTCCCACCACAGCTCTGGGAGGCCAAAAGCAAGAAGAAACAAACCCAAGTTTCCTCCTAGTTACATCAGTGTTATTGGGACACTGAAATAAGRACAATCAGAATTTGAACTGAACATAAGCTAGGGCACTAGTGTCTGCTAACTTGTGTTGTGGTACCACCTACCTTTCCCAGCACAGAAYGGGGTTGCTCCTATTCCTCTCCCCACATGGTAAATTGCCCACAAAAATTTGGARGAGATAATGAAAACCCTGAAAACATAACCCTACAAAACACACGGTTATCAACCCAGAGCAGGAAGGGGGCTCGATAGCACACACAGCTCAGATTTAAGGACAGGTCTGAATTTTTTTCCTTTCATGGAACTAGGAGTCCAAAAGATAATTTTGGGGAAGTTTTTACTTGCTTGTAAACGTAACTCTGCATAGATGAAAGAGTTAGTCATCTTCTCCATGTCAAAAATAAACCCAGCAATTTCCAGAATGTGTCACAATACAATATTAACTGTGTATCTGCCCAGTCACTGAATCAGGGCACACTCAATAGCCTTAATTTAGAATATCTATATTTTCCTGAATCAGTCTAACGTACCCTGAACTATGAATAGCACTACTGAAAGAGCCAGTTTGCAGTATAAACACCTCTAAAACTGGTCCCAGTGATGAGAAACAGTGTGCCCTCCCTGCACAGCTGAGCTGCCAGACACAGAGCAGAGCCTGCATTTACCAAATTCAGAGGATTCTCACACAGAAAGAGCTTGAACAGAAAAGCTCATCCAAGAATTTGCTGAGGCATGAAATGCACATGCCAAACTCCTATGACACAGGTACATGTTCAATATAGAGCTGGGCTCACCCAGGCAGCACAGACATGAACCCCCAGCCCTTCTGTAGCTCCTCAGCTCCAGAACATGTGAGCAAGCTGAGAAMGCAGCAGCACCGGGGAGAGGCAGATCTCAGTTTCAGTCACCTGAAATTGTCCTCATTTAAGGCAGTCACAGCACACCATGCCCTTCAGAAGCAGAGCCTCTTCTTCCACTAGCACAGCAAGCTTTCCTGCTGACGCCAGGGAAATCAAAGGCAGGCAAAGGAACAGATAACAGGTTACCAAGGACTCGCACCAAATGTTACAGCCACGTGGAAGAGTCCCGATGGGAAATATATAGCATTGGAAGTTTTCCCTTGAGTTTTCAAGATACTAATTATAAAATACCAGAGCAACGAGACAGCTGGAGCCRATGCAAGGCATGTGCTGGAAGAGGTGAAAGACTTCAAGCATAGTCATGGAGAAACTGGATAGCAACCACCTCTCCTGTTTTATGGTTTCTTACACTTAAAGAACATCTCCAGCCAAAACACAGACTCTCTCATCTCCACAAGGAATGGGATATCAACACGAGACTAGAAAACCCCGCTTCAGCATMTCTGAGTAAAAACAAAACCTTTTCAAATCATCATCACAGATTACAACCTTCTAGATTCTAGACAAAACTGAAGGAAATCTGACCTCCCCACAAACAGCACCACCCTGATGTCAGGGATSTGCCCCACAACTTCAGAGCAACCATTAAGGCAATTAAGAACAAACACACAGAAGAAATTCAGACTTTGAAACAAATGACTTTTCATTTCTGCATACTTTTCTTTATACTAGTTGGTTAAAAATTCATCTAATTTTAGAGACAGGGCAGAAAAAATTACATCCCTTGCTGCAGATCACACAGCAAGAAGAAGTTGCAGCAGTCCCTTCAGAACTTCATTTCTCCACCACACACTCTAAACTGCATCTGCAGTGGCTTTTTCTTGTACTACTAAGATGCACCTGCGATATCTTTTTCTAGTACTAGAAAGAGAACGGTACTAACAAATGTCAAACAGCATTTTCAAAGCTGTATTTGTCAGGTAACAACTCTACAGGTCTGGTCAGCACAGGGAAGGGCATATTGCAGCAACRATACTGAAAAGGAAAACCGAATCAAAGGCATGAGTCAAATGCACTGGTCAKCCCTACCACAAAGCAGCCTCCCACAGACCTGAAGTAAGGAGAGACAGAGATGTAGGAAAAGAACACAGAGTTTCTCAACCCAAGGTTTTAGGCGAAAAAGACCATTGTGCCTGTGCTGTAAGGCAGTGYGTCCACTCACACAAGTGGTTTACGGAATACTGATATCTTCTGGTGTGTGTTGKTGGTGACCCCATCATCCCGCTGTGTGCTATTGTCCCGAGGGGGAGGCAGCACTGATAAGGAGGAGGTGGGGCAAGATTCCAGTCAGAGGGGYAAAATGGATAATTACTCCTTTGAGCAGCATACAAAATAGTTAAAAAGAGAAAATTTATTCTCTAAAGCTTGTATTTTCCAGCAGAGAACTGTAAAATTGTATGTTTCCCCAATTTCTAAGGAAGTGAAACCTGACAAAAACTGAGACTGACATAAGACTCAAGCAGAGTAAGATTTAAGATCAGGGTCATGCTGAGAGTTGAGTCAACACAGTTTTAATTCTTAAAACTTTTACTGACCTCACAATTCACAGAGAAAAACTGTGCGATACCTTTAGAATTAGCAGCAAAAGTCTATTGATGCTTCAGTGCAGTACTTTAGAAGCACATTTCTCAGAGCCTCCTCCAGAAAGGATAAACCCCACTGCTTTCAGACAAACACCTCAAACTAAGCATAAGTGGGCACACAGCTCCTTGGAGTGCTTGTGTCAAYGATAACAGCCACGAAATCCAGTTTGGCTGTCAGATAATCTGTTTTCCACCCATGTAATATAATTAGCACCCRACATGAAGTGGCAAAATGAGGGAAGCAAGGTGCCCTCTTTTCTCCCAGATCAAGGCACTTCATGAGCATCAATTAGATGTTAATTTTCCTGGGAGGCAAGCGTGACAAGTCTTATTAAGCCATTTTAAAGATTAGGGCACTGAGTCACAGAGAGATTAAGAACTTCCTCAAAACCAAAAGCAGAGTCAGAGAGGGGGCAGCTACACCCCAGCTGGGACTGGCAGCAGAGGACTGTGCTGCTCCACCTTACTGCAAGGTTTAGAGTCTCTAAAGAAAAAAGAAAGAACTCCTCCAGACTCCCATGAAGTTTCCTGCCCACGCTAACATGCCTCCGTTTTGASCTGCAAGGGACCATCTCTAGACACAAGAACGCAGTCCCGTTTCCCCACTCAGATCTCATTTTGGCCGAAGGTATCAACARGGCTGCCAATTGTAAACAGACCTCCAGATCTTTTGCAATAAGCTTGAGAGAGAACTTAAAACTTTTTGATACTGGTTCAACCACACAGGCGTAGGGGCAAATAAATCTACAATCACCAGTCCACGAGCCAGCTATCCGAATTCAAGTCATATGCTGAATTTACACATGAAAAAAGGTGTGAACACATCAAGACAATCCCTATCACAGGTTAACAAACACTTCAAAGCGCCAAGAGAAACTCAGCAGTGCCATCCTCAATTAGCCCGAAAGGTGAGCAGAGAAGTATGTTACGCTGGTTAACTCACTCATTAGGACGAGTCCAAACTAATAGCCCACTGCAGGGTTGTAACACATTTAGAAAGCACTCGGCTGCCTTAATCGCAGGGTACTCACGGAGCGAAAAAATTATTTTGACTTTTCCTGCGTGGCCGCCCGAGTCAGCGCGGAGTCACCGCCCGGGACCGCGGGGTGCAGGGACAGCCCGGGCTGCGAGAGGGCTCCGGGAGGGCTCCAGTGGGGCAGGGCACAGCACAGCCCGCGGGGTCCCGGCACGGCACAGCCCGGCACGGCACAGCCCGCGGGGTCCCGGCACGGCACGGCCCGGCACGGCACAGCCCGGCACGGCACAGCCCGGCACGGCACAGCCCGGCACGGCACAGCCCGGCACGGCACCGCCCGGCACGGCACGACACAGCACAGCCTGCCTGGGGCAGAGCCCGGCTCAGGGCGCTCCCTCCCTCCCTGGCTCCGCTGTGAGGGTCCCCATTCCCGCCTCAGCCCGCGGGGTCCCCTCACGGCCCCGCTCCCCTCACGGCCCCGCCGCACCTGCTCCGCCCGTCCCGCGGACCCACGGCTGCAGCTGCGGCGTCGCTCCTCATGCTGCCGGCACTGCCCAGGCTCCGCTCAGCTCGCCGGGCTCGGGGCGGGGCAGCGGGGACCGCCCGGGACCGCCCCTGTCCGCCCTGGTCCGCCCCTGACCGCCCCAGCCTCAGCCTGACTGCCCCGGCCCCAGCCCGACCGCTCCTGTCCGCCCCTGTCCGCTCCAGCCCCAGCCCCAGCCCGACCACCCCTGTCCGCCTCAGCCCGGCTGCCCCTGTCCGCCCCGACCCGTGCGAGCCCCGGTCCCAGACCCGGTCCCAGCCCCGTGCGAGCCCCGGCGATCCCGCCATGCCCGGCACAAGGTGCGTGTCCCCGCGGTGCCGGTGCGGCCGTTCCGGGGCTTTTCCCCACAGCAGCCCGGCCTCACCTGCTAGCGGGGCAGCTCTGAGAGGGGACAGCGCCATAAGGAACTCGGGCCGCTTCCTCTCGCCTGCTGAAGGTCGCGTTCTGGGGAAGCGTGAATGTTGTCGCATATTCGGGCGTTTCAAGAAGGTTTCGGTCAGCAGGCGARTAGAAAACCGCTGGGGACAAAGTTCAAGATCAGCCGACAGCACTCACGCTGACTCCCCGACTCCCGTCGATGGTGACATCTCGCTGACGGCACAAGTGAGGTTTTATGAAAAAGAAACAGAGAAAAATCGTCGGGAATCACTTGAAGCGATGCAACAGGGAGCGTGAATGAGCTAAAGCTCCTATCTAAAGGTTTGACAAAAGCCCCAGCAGGCCCACTTTACAGTCATAAATACTCTGACATGTGCGCACAGTCACTACGCTTCAGGACGCTGAAGGCTGTGGCACTAAAAGGCAGCGAGACCCTGGTCTGTCCTGACACGAGTTGTGCCCCTTTTCACACTTCAGCCAAATTTGAAGCAATCTTGGATAACATGAAACAGGTGTGAATGTGGCCCTCTTTATCATGCACAGCTGAATGTAATACAACCCCTAGTGACTCAGGTGGTTTAGCCAACTCTCTAAAATAATTTGTTGGTCTTAAGACAGGAATTTTGTTGTAGAAAATACCTCTCATTTGGGTTGAAATTTGTCTTCCAGCTTTTTGCATCGTGTTTGGCTGAACCCAAGTTTTACTCAATCATTAACTTTGAATTGCAGTATGTTTGACTGCTTATTTAACTTCAGGAGATTAACTGTACTTTTTCCTCCAAGGGATAAAAGCAAGAATATAGAAATAATGGTACATACCATTTCCCTGTTATCTAAAAGACTATCATCTTTAGCAGACTTGGGGAAGGCAAGAACAAGGAATGAGAAAATCCTCTTGGCAAACTTTCACAACAAAAGGGATCTGTAATTAGCAAAGGGAGATATGTGTATGAAAGAAATCATATCTATATGATTTTTACAAAATCTTGCYAGTTTCAGTCCACCACTGAGAGCCAGAGGATTCAGAAAATACAAAGTCAGAAAGAATTTAGCCCCWACTGGGAAATATTCCAAAATTTCCTTCTTTAGGATAGATGCTCCTTTTTGGTTAAGAGAGATGCTTACAGCACTGCTCTCCCMCATGCCTGTTTACCCTCACAACTGTCTCTCTCCCTCCATGCCTCTCCAAAAAGTTAGTAAGTCCATAAAAAGATAACCCTTTCCTGCCAAGTYCTTCCAAGATTTTTATGCATCATTGGGGGCTGCACAAAGACTGTCAGGAACCTTGCTATGTATTAACTATAATTAATGTGTTTACTCATTGTCCTTAGCTACGTGATCTTTGAAAGTGGCTGAAAGGTGAATGTGTAATTCACATTAACCTTAACTATAATCACAAACACCTTTAAAAATTATATTTCATTAGATGTTACTTAACCAGAATAATTAAGAAATTCTTTATTCACAGTCACACCTACYTCTCTCCAAAGGAAAACATAACTGAGATACATCTAATCATTATGGGCTAAGATGAACACACATCAGCAAAGATTAGATTAATAAACATGAATCAGGAAGCACAAATCTGCCATTGCATGGGGCTCTGTTGGATATCCAACACCCCCTTCCTCTGAGGTGTGGGACACACAAGCATAAAGGGAAGTAGCAACTTCCCTGGCTGCTGCACAGCCTCCCCTTCCCGTGAGACCAAGTTCCCAACTATTTTCCATTTTTTAACAGTGCAGTTGCTTTGTATTTGGGGTTTTTTTGTTGTTGTTGTTGTTGTTTTGGTTTTGTTTTTTTTTGTTCATTTACAGCCTGTTCTCCTCCATTGAAAGGGGAGGAAAAAGGAATATGAAATTCCTTACAAAAAGCAATCCCTCCTTATTGACTGGTGTAAAACCATGCCTGCTAACTCTGGTAAAGGATGTTTATCCCTCTGCTGCTGCTGCTGCTTTGCAGCACTCCCTTTCCTCACCTGTGCAAGTCTATCTATTCAAATTCTTGTAAATGGAGTCCTATCAACATATTCAGCACAATAAAAGCCCTTCTTGTGGTATTCAAACAGCCTGTCTGATCAGTTCTGGTGAACTGTGCATGTCTTCAAAGTTAACTGAATTTTTCATCCAAAAGAGATGGCCTGGTTGTGGCCTGGCTCTCGGGAGACCATGCTGAGCTTCCTCCTCCATCTCTTCTTGCCTTTATGACTTGGAGAATTCACRTGTACATTGTGTATCAGTGATCTGTAGGGTGCAGGGAACAGGACTTGCTTCCCTTGTTGGGGTTATGAGGGTGAAATCCTGTTCTGAGGGTGAAACCTTGGATTCTGCTGCATCATGGGCAAGGCGACTATGGGTAGCTTGGTATTTTCCTGCCCTTGGTTTGAAGTTGCTAATCATACTCATCTCTGGTGAGAATCAGTAGATAAATACAAATTTTCATGTTCTCTTCCTTCATCAATGCTTTTTGTTTTAAATCAACATACAAAGCCATTAGAGTGGCTCTTTTAATGGAATTTTTCTTTATAGAGTGACGAAAAGAAAACAGATCTAAGGAAAGGAAGTTGGATTCTTTATGTGGGAGCATATCATTTTCCTGGAGCCTGGAATAGCTGGATTTTCTTACCACATGAGCAGGAAATAGCCCTTCCTACCCAGTCCTGGGTGTATCAGATAATACCCTTCCCTATAAAGGAACTATTCTWGTGTGAGACACCTTCTAAACAACATTTCTATTCAAATTTCCAAGCACATTAACAGATTTACACAGGTCTATTGAGGAAGAGTTCAAAACACTTTGGCTCATCAGAAAAAGCAGACAGAAGTAGCTGTGAAGCATGCCCAGCTAATTTTCTAACCTCCTTCCCATGGAAGACTGCAAGTTCACTTGTCAGGGAAGCTTGGGGATGGGTTCTTCATCATCCCACCTTCCTCCTGTCAGCAGTTTCAACATTAATTGATTCATTTCCTGAGACGCTTTGTTAAATGCAATTTTACGGAGAGAGTAACCAGCTAGCAAGCACCAGCCTCCTCAAAATCTTATGAATCAAAATAATCCTTATTTGAAGGCAGAAGAAATGAGTCTCACAMTTTCTAGGATAATTCTTATTTTAGTAAGGCATAAAATTATGATCCCAGATTTATTCCTATAATGGAGTCATGTCTCAGTGTCATTTTACTTCATTAAGAGATAATGTCAGCTCTGGTGATGTAATTATAAATCATGGAAACATTTCTTGAGTTCTGAAAAGCAACAGTCATAACCTTAAGAAGTTTCAAACCTCTCATGGGACACATAGCATCTTGTAAGGTGTATTTGAATTTTGAGAAGATTGTACAGATCAAATAAGGTGGACATTATGAAGGGTAGAATAAGTCATTACTACAAAGGGTTCCATCTTTTTCTTTTCTTCTTGTAGCCAGATTTTTAGTCAGCTCTTACAAGATTTAGTCTTTCAAAAGGATATGTTTTTATAATTACCCTTAGGAATACCACTAAAGGCCTTCATTTCATTAATGTTGAGTTATCAGCATTTATTCCACAGATATTTTCATTTCTGACACTTGGGCTTGTGTRCGCAAAAGATTTTTTGAAAAAGCTTTTTGTTCTGCTTTGATTTGCAGAAGTCAGTACTCTGAGAAACACATGAGATGTCAAAGCCACGGARCTGCTTCTGTTGAAATAAATGTCAACATCTCACTTCAGAAAGAAAAGGATCAAGTAATTAAAGGTTGTTTTGCATGGATTCCAATAAGCTTTGGATGAGGCCTCAGTTCCCCAGCAGTGCTTGCACTTTGCTGCTTTGGATTGTGCTGACAAACGACTCTAAAACTCACCCACCGAGCTCAGCAAAGCTGATAACATTTCCTTCCTGYACTGCTGGGCTAACACCTCCCCTGAAAATGTGCTCTGACTTKGGTCATACTTGATTTCAGATTAGGACTTTGCAGAGAAAAATGAAACTTCAATGTGATAAAGTGATAAAGGAATTTAAATTAATGTATAGTCTTCCGAGCCAAGTGATTCCAGGCTGTGTGCAGCTGGGAAATAGATTCTGCTTTGTTGGGGTCCTAAAACATCTGCCTGAGCCTGTAAATGCCAGCTGCTTGAAGGGCTGTCAAATTGCAGAACAGGCAGAGAGGGTGCTTCCARTTCTATCAGGAGAAAAATACAGTGYGYTKTAWTAGACACRTTGGAGAAATTTTGGGATAAAAGCTAAAAAACAACCCAAACACACAAACAATAGAAACARCTGACACACCTGCATGAAAACAGTTCCTAGAATATGGCTGTCAGTGAGTAAGGAGAACATTTTATAAACACATTCTTAATACAAATTAACTTTTCTCTATGTATTGTCAGCAAGAACCTRAGATTCTTTCTTGTCTGTGGGAAACCTTCTGTCAGAGACAAAGATCACTTTCCACATGCTTTGATCTTAGCATATTAAATCTTAGCAGAGACTTTATTTAATTAAATGTTATTTATGTTTTGTGGGTGTTACTGAACAAAGACTTCCCTGTGTGTCATTAGTGGCAGCATGACAGAGAGTTTGAACCATTGAGGACCATCAGGGTAAGTCTGAATGCAGATGTTGTAGGGAAATCTCTGTTTCTCAGCAGCTGAACACTCAGCCATGCTTGCCAAACTGAGGGATGAAACCCC